AAAATAGGGTTGTTGTTTTTTTCCTGTTTGTATCAAGCCTGGAGTGTCCATAGGTGGAGGTCAAGAAAGACAAGATGGCAGCCTTGACTGTGTGATCAAAAAGCAAATGCAGCACACATTAGAAAGGGATGGGGCTTTGATCACACAGTTGGGGCCCCCTACTTGTTTCTGGACTTCCCCCTATGGACACCACTGCCTGGAACATTTCTTTTGCATTTTTTTTTTGTACCGCCTTATAGATTTTCTGTTTAGTCACTGAACCTGATCAAAGCAATTCTATATTTATCTCCTTTAACAGGAAAGGTTTGGATCTTAATATCTAAAGCAGTGTTTTTCAATCTTGGAAACTTTATAGTGTGTGGACTTCAACTCCCAAATTCCCTAGCTATCATTGAAAAACACTGATCTAAAGATTTTAAAAAAGTTATTGCAGTTTATCTTTTACCTTTTCTTTTAAAAAATGATTTTGATTTTGTTTGTTTCTGGTGAGATTGGTCTACCTCCCAAGGAGATCATAAAGGTCGGAAACCTCTAGTTACACATCGTCAAGCTACATGGCCAGGAGGTTGCATTACAGATTTCTTTTTCATGTTTACCATTTAATTACCAGAAAAGCAGCACAGGTTGTAAGAACTCCCTCTCATACAGGATGCCAAGTAATATGCTGCTTGGAGAATAGATGGAGACAGTGCAACTTTCAAACCACTGACCTAAAGCACAAGGTAGGGGCAAGCTATGAAGACCAGAGGGATACCAGAAGAAGAGACCTCCAACCTTCCACGCTATCAGCTGTTCAGCTGCAAACCTGGATGTTATAATCAACAACAAACCTATGGCACAGCATCAGATTAATGGGATTCAAGATAGTAACTGTTAAGTGTTTACACAACATGGTAAATCAAAAACATCAAGAGAAGCCCACAGGTAGGGGGTTAAAAATGGCAGTGCATCTGCTTTTACAGTCTGAGGTTTCTTTGTTGGCATGTTCCAAGAATATGCCCATTGTCTCTTTGAAATGATTATTTCAAAACAAGAGAGTCCCCTGATTTCCCTTTTTTAGGTTAGTGTTTCATTTTCTATAGAAATATTCCAACAACAGGAAGCACTGAGGGCAGCCCAGGTGACAGTAGAAGAGAGCCTTGTTCTGCCTATTCAAGGAAGGGATGAAAAAACATCACTTCAAGGATTACAAGGAAGCTTGAGAAATGCAAGAAACTCTTTCTGATCTCACAGTGTATAAAATTGAAAGCTAGCAGCTTCTAGCAAATGAAATTGGGCAAGAGAGCTTTATTATCCATTGGTACATGCTTTTAAAATTCATCACCGTGTGCATACAAGCTTGGTGCCTTTTAGATGCATTTATATTGGATTGGGACTACAGCAGTCCCAAATGCCTTCCTTCTCAGCCATTATGCTGTTGTCCTAACACACCAAAGGCAGGCGAAAATGAGGCAGTCAGTGATTACAATGCTGGACTAGGTATAGCAAATGTGCTCCTGATCCTCTTTGATCTGTTCAGGGGTATCAATAACAAATCATAATTATGTAAGCATGATATGTCATGATATCACAGTACAAATGATACCATGAAATCTACTTCAAGTAACTTATGACATATGTTTATGAAGATTCTCAGTCACCCAGGTGGAATAGTCTGGAGGTTGAGTCATGGCAACTGGACTTAACTTTTTGGTTAGATTAGTTAGGTTAGGTTAACCAAAAAGCTAAGAAGTCCAGTTGCTATGACTCAGCCTCCAGATAACTTATGACAGATCATCCACATGTCACAATTTGCCCTCATGGCTTCCTGTAATGGTATGCGGGAATGAAGAACCACAGACTAGACAATGGTCAGACAAATGACAACTGAGTCTGCAGAAGGAATGGGGGTGTGGCAAACATCTCAGAAGGGACCCTAGTTTCTTAGACTATAAAGGTGAGGGAGGTTGGTGAGATGTACTTTCAGACTTGCAAGATTCTGTTAATGTAGCCTTACAATTAAGATAAAGCTAGTACTTTTTGTCTGGACTACCTCGCAAGGCTGACACTTCCCTACAAGGAAGCTTCTAGCTCTGTTACAAAGCTTGATGGACGGCCATGAGGCCAGGACTGAGGCTTGGTGTAAGTCTTTAAAATAAACTGAGACCTGCACAATGTTATCTGAAATGCCCAAACAACAGGCCCAGCTAAGGCAGCCATGCCCTCTTCTGGGACAATGCATCCCATCCCATCCACTGTGCCATCCCAACCCTTTATCTGTGCATTCTGAGCATATTCAGTATAATTGCACTTTAGGCTTTCTCTTAGAGGGATCTTCTACCCCATAAAATTTCATTTATGCGTGTGTAAGCAGTAGACCCCAGCCAAACTGCTACTATCTCTTATACTGTACACCGATAGTGCCATGATGTCTACTAAAGAGTTTAGTATTAATAGCATTTTTTTTTCACTATACAGGGATGGTAATGCTTCAATGTACAGACTAGAAATTCTGGGAGTGGTAGTTCCAACACACAGACACACATACACACACAAAATTTGGCATATATATCACTGCTTGCAATTCCTTTCCTCAAGCATAGTCATAGTATCCAAAGGGACTGCAATGCTGTCCCTGGTTTTTCCAATATTGACATTTCTGCAAAGCAACGATTTAGGTATGGTTCACATTTAATTCCTCTGTCACAGCACAGTAATTGTTGCTAGATAGGAGCTGTTTTAGCTCGGATGGCTGTCTGTAAGCAAGGATGGGCCTGCAATATAAGAACTGTGAAAAGAATCAATTCCTTTTGTTATTTTATTTATTATTTTATTGCTAAAGACCTTTTATTCTTGACAGGGTTCGCTTTAAGTACAGCAGAAATGACACAAAAGAGTCACACCCTTTTGTATCATTTTTGTTCATCCCAATAAAGCTATCAACCTGCTTTGGATTTTAGATGTTTTTTTCTCTGTGGACCAACAAATGATTTTATGCAAAGTTATATGTCTGCTACCATCTATTGGCCAGTTTAATATTGAATAAATATGTTTTACTTTGCCCCCTGGCATGATAGATGGGTGTTTTTTTGTTTTTTTTAACTGCTGTTGCATGTTACCAAATAGCATTTCTTCTACCATCTACCATTTTATTCCTTAAGATGCTTCATATTTGTACAGTGGTACCTTGGTTCACAAACACTTCTGTTCATGAACAATTTGGTTCGCGACCAGCACCGTTCGCAAAATTTTGCTTCCGTTCGCGAACTCCGCATCAGGTGACGAACATGACCCGCAGCCATTCTCCCTGCTGTGACATGTGGTCGTGGCTTCCTGTAGGCGAGATCACGGTTGCAGACAGACACTGGCTG